TTAGTGGATAAATATTTCTGCTTTCTCTCCCCTTTGTGGGAAAATCTTTAGTTGTGCTACTCACAATTATATCAGGACCCATATATTTTGCCACAGTGGCGAACACTTTTATAACTTGCCCTTCATTCTTTTGTCTCTTCCCTATTTGCTGCTTGCTTTCTTCTTGGAATCAACTCCCAAATAAACTAATTATGCCCAAATCTTTGTCTCAGGATATGCTTTTGGGGAAAGCAGTTCTAAGGAAGTTGAGGTTTAGAGTCCTTGAGTAATTTTTTCAAGTTCACCTATCGTTACATGGTAGATTCAGTATATGAATCTAGAAGCCATGATCAAAAGCATCATCCCTTATTGCAAACTAGATGGTAGGTGCTACAATGCAGACCAGCGAACACTATGTTTCTTCCACAGTGTGTTTCAAAATGCAAGCCAAAGTCAGAACTTAATGCATACTTCTGCTGGTCAAGTTCATTTTATGTTTTGGAGTGTGTCTTTTCCCCTGCAGCACATCAGAACGTGTCTTTAGGCAGTTAGCTAAACACATGTGCTTATAATTTATATAGGAATTGTGTATAAATTTCTCACACTTGTCTAGTTGCTGAGTATCTTCTCCTTCTTTTTCTATAGATAGCAACTTCATCCTCGCCAACGCCCAGGTGGCTAAGGGTTTCCCCATAGTCTATTGTTCCGATGGCTTCTGTGAGCTTGCTGGATTTGCCCGAACTGAAGTCATGCAGAAGAGTTGTAGCTGCAAGTTCTTATTTGGAGTTGAAACCAATGAGCAACTGATGCTTCAAATAGAAAAGTCATTGGAGGAGAAAACAGAATTCAAAGGAGAAATTATGTTCTACAAGAAAAATGGTGAGTTGGCTTTCTTTGGTGCTCATTGGAGAGTTGTGAGAAGTTGTCTTCTTTCAACCAAGTAATTGCTCTGCAACTCCCATTAAGGCTTAATGGGATTTCACGTATGTGCAGTCTGTTATAGAAGTTCACAGATGACTTGGATGATAGCCTTGTTTTAACCATTAGCAGCATAAACTGCCTAGAAATTTAGAATTAGAATTGTAACTATTCAATGTCAATGAATAGTTAACATATATTAACTAAGTTAATATATGTTAAAATAAAGAGTGTTACTATTATATTTTGTTACTATTATTCTTAAAATATATGTTATATTTAATAGTTATTTGTACATTAACAACTTTTATATGGGAGTATTTTCCAAATGTTAAGCCTTAAAGAACTACATCTCAGTTCCAGTCATTAAAGACAGAGATCTGTGTGTTCCCTGCAAATAAGGAAGTCAGTTAAAAAAAAAAAAAATCGGCATATGCATTTTCTTTTCCAGTTACCTGGCCGTAGAGCCTTTCTCACTATTCTCTTAAATTCTAAACGCAAAACAGGAGACACATAGCATCTCAGGTTAGAGTAAATTTGCCTGGGCTCAAAACTGCCACTGCGGAAACTAGGTATTTTCTTTTGACTGAGTTTTGTGGCTCTCTTTAAAAAGAAAGAGGATCTAGGGGTGTGTAAGGTGTCTGCAGTCCTTGGGCTGTATGTAGGAATATATATCATCAGCAAATGGGCCCTGGTACTTAAGGTAAATTCAAGAGAGAGAAATGGGAGAAATGCTAAATCAAAAATATACCCAATGGATTAAAAATCATTCTGTTATAAAGACACATGCACATGTATGTTCATTGTGGCACTGTGTACAATAGCGAAGACCTGGAACCAACCCAAATGCCCATCAATGATAGACTAGACAAGGAAAACGTGGCACATATACACCATAGAATACTATGCAGCCATTAAAAAGGATAAGTTCATGTACTTTGTAGGGACATGGATGAATCTGGAAACCATCATTCTCAGCAAATTGACACAAGAACAGAAAACCAAACACAGTATGTTCTCACTCATAGGCGGGTGTTGAACAATGAGAACACATGGACACAGGGAGGGGAGCATCACACACTGGGGTCTGTTGGTGGGGACTAGGGGAGGGACAGTGGGGGGAGTGAGGAGATTGGGGAGGGATAACATGGGCAGAAATGCCAGATAAAAGTGACCGGGGGATGGAGGCAGCAAACCACCTTGCCATGTATGTACCTATGCAACAATCTTGCACGATCTGCACATATACCCCAGAACCTAAAGTACAATTAAAAAGAAAAATAAAACAGAAAAGACTATTATTTTCCAAGTATCCAAATTTTTCACTTTTTTCGTTAATAGCTTTCCTTTTCCCTTGTAGTAACATAATTCCCTGAGTTTTAGCTAGTGCATGGCTACCAAACTAGAAAATAAATATTTCCCAGTATTGTTTTTAAGTTAGTTGGGTTTGTGACTAAGTTTTAGGCCACAATATATGAGAAGGAATATTTCGTGCAATTTCTGGATAAAATACCTGAAAGTGAAATTGTTCTCTAATTTATCTCCTTTCCCTTCCCGAGGGTGTGGACAGAAGTGTGTCCTAGAAAGTGCATATATTGAAGTCGTAACCCAAAATATGATTGAGATAAAGCCTTTAAAAAGATAATTAGTGTTAAATGAGGTCATAAGAGTGGGGAACTAAACCAATATGACTAGAGTCCTCATAGGAAGCAGGAGAGGCACTGAAGGTGTGCATACACAAAACAAAGGCCACATGAAAATATGGCAGGAAGGCAGCTGTCTGCAAGCCAAGAAGAGAGGCCTCAGGAGAAACCAAACCTGTCAGCACCGTGATCTTGGACATCTAGCTTCCAGAGCTGTGATAAAATAAATTTCTGTTGTTTAAGCTACCAAGTCTGTGTTGTTTTCTTGTGGCAGCCCAAGCAAACTAATACATATATGTTAAAAATTTAAAACACCTGAAGAAGCTTTTGGGCTGAGATGATGGGGTTTTCCAGATATAGGATCACATCATGTACAAACAGAGACAGTTTGACGTCCTCTTTTCCTATTTGAATACCCTGTATTTCTTTCTCTTGCCTGATTGCCCTGGCCAGAACTTCTGGTGCTATGTTGAGTAGGAGTGGTAAGAGAGGGCATCCTTGTCTTGTGGTGGTTTTCAAGGGGAATGCTTTGTTGATAGGTGCAGCAAACCACCATGGCACACATTTATCTATGTAACAAACTTGCACATCCTGTGCATGTATTGTGGAACTTAAAGTGAAATTAAATTGGCCAGACACGGTGGCTTATGCCTGTAATCTCGGCACTTTAGGAGGCCAAGGCTGGCAGATCACAAGGTCAGGAGTTCAAGACCAGTCTGACCAATGTGGTGAAACCCTATCTCTACTAAAAG